CCCTTCAACCCCCATCATCACTGCACTCCCCTCCTCCACAAACAAGATTCAGCGAGAAAGCACCCCAACTCCTGAGAGAGAAACAAAAAGAAATCCACGTGACATCCTATTGCACAACTTTAAAAAAATATTTTTTTCTTATAAAGTGAAATTAGAGGCTATGACCACAAAGCCATCTCTGGATAAGGAGCCAAGACAAAAGACAATGCATCGAAGAGGGCAAAGTCACCTTTCCAGGCCCTCTCCTACACTGAGCCACACGTCCTCCAAGGCGCTGCCAATCACAGCACAGCTCAAGCAGCTGCTCACAGCTGGACCTGCCTGGGGCTGGGCTGGTGACTAGTCCCCAGCATCATAGTAGTGCTCAGAGGTGACAACTCTCCCGAGCCTTGTCAGGAGGCACTAGGATCTCCTGAAGATTTCTGGCAAACAGCATCATGGCCACCCAGAAAAAACAGACTCTAAAGCATTGATAAATCTTGGAAATTTAATCTGGGCTCTGGCCTGAGCTCTGTGACCCTAGGTGAGTTACTTAGCTTCTGTAAGTCCAAGACCTTCTCCATGATAAAAACACCTAACTCTTAATTTACATGATTATTCTAAGAATGAAACAAATGCCAGGCATTGTCACAAGCTCAGCCAAATCTCCAAACAAATTACTGATCGAGTCAGGAAAAAAATTGCGATAAAATTAGTTCTCTCAATTCTACCATTCTACAAAAACGGTATCAACATTTTTTCGTATCTTTTTAATTCTGTTTTAATTCACACCCAGCATTTCTACTCCTGGTTCATGGGGCTATTATGAATAGGCTAGGGCGGGGCTGGGGAGGGTATGACATGCTGAAGCTCAAATCCATGGCTCCTGCACAGCAAATCTTGCCATCAGTCCAGGCGTTCTCACCCTGCCCTCCTCTCTTCTAAGTGCACCAAATCCTAGCACTGCACTTGGCCTCGGTAGAGTATTTTTCCAATGGGTCTCCAAAGCACATGGAGACTTTTATAGTTCTTGTGTCTCAAGACCCTGATGTCAACCACTTAGAAGGCTTACATCTGAACAGGTGACAGCTGGGACTTGGACTGGCCCTGCTTAGAGGACAGGAATAACTGGAGTTCCCTCCTTTTCCTTTTCGATTAAATCTCTGAGCAAACCTGGGCAGTACCCCATTTGCCCACCACCTAAAGCAAACACGAACTCAGTCTCCTAGCTACCAATGAAGTCTAAACACACTTGGGAGCAAAAATCAACAGAAATGATCTTTCAAAGAGTGACAGCTCTAAGCAAACAGTTTAAAACTCAGGTGAAGTGTGTGTGCACATGGGTACACAGGAGAAGAGGGCACGACTTGTACGAGACACCAATTTTCTTTAATGGATCAGCATCAAACTTCTTATCGCCGAGAGCAAACACACTTAGTGCTAAATACACTCTTCAAACAAAATCCTCTGGACTCATTTATATTAAATCTGGAATATGCCTGGCCCAACAGCTGCCACATTTCCTAGCAGGCTTACATAACACAGTGTACATTAGACCACTGGCCCATAAATTCATAGATGATTCTGCTTGCCCTTACTTCAATCTGGGAAAACAGGTGAGGGAAAGACTTTCTAATTCAGTTAAGCCCCTGTCTGTCCTGCCTTTCTTTTCCTCTTGTGTCATAAGGGTATTTGTCTAACAAACAGAGGACGTGTTGGTTACTAAATAGTCATTTCAGATGGTGAGGAAATGATGAACTACCAGCGTTTACTCACTTCGTAATCACGAAGAGGAAGACAGTAATCGATGCAGGGAAGAAGGGCTCAAAGTGTCAGCGTCCAGAGGGGGAAAAACAAAAGTGAAAAGCCAACGATATTTTTCTGGATTTCAGGCTAAAACTCTTTAAAGGGAGAAGCTTTTTTGTTTCAACTGGAAGTGTTGGTCTGTACCCTGCTTTCAAAATTTATCTTAAAAGAAGGGAGTCTTGTGCCTGGGTTTCAATTATACAGTGATCAAATACCCATCCCTCTACCAGTGCCCATTTCCCACCACCACGGGTCCCAGTATCCCTCCCACCCAACTGCACCTCATGATGTCTCACTAATAATAATTTAAAAAAAACATTGAATGTAATCAAAGTGGAGAGAGAGAGTAATGTGGAAATCATCTCCTCCCAAGTAGGGGGAGGGTGTGGAATGGGGGGGTATACTGGAACTTTTGGTGGTGGAAAACGGGCACTGGTGAAGGGGCCAGTGTTTGATTGTATGACCGAGACTTACACCCGGAAGTTTTGTAATTCAGCTCATGGTGATTCAATAAACAAAATTGTAAAAAAAGAAAAACAAAAAAAAGGGAGTCTTTCACATGTAATCTCCCAGACTGTGATCTGTTCTATGGGCCAGCCAGTGAGTAGCCTCTGAGAAGAACTCCGCACTCACTCGTCAGAAGGGGACAAAGCTGTTCTGAAGTCAAGGAAACGAACAGGACCCTAGTCTTACCCAAAGAAAGCAGAAAATGATGTAATCCAGCCTAGGAATCACAGCATCTGATGACGCCAGGTTCAAAGAGCAATGAAAACGGGCAGCCCGTCTGCCTGCGCAATAGACTGTAGCTGTTTCTCGTGATTTCTCAGATTGCCCATGCATACAGAAGCCTTCGGCTGCTGAGTATCTGTGTTCATTACTGTACTGTTACTTCCTTATGTCTTTTTTTTTTAAAAAATTGCTTCACTGACATATAATTCTCAGGCTATACAAGTCAATCAATTTGGTAAACTGAGTTATGTGATTATCACAACATATTTTTAGAAGATTTTAATAAATTCAAAAAAGAAACCCCCTATCCAACCCCCAGCTTTTCCTTCCATCCCCTTAGCTCTAAGTAATCACTACTTACTTCTTTATTTTTTCTGTCTGCCTTTCTCTCTCTCTCTCTCTCTCTCTCTCTCTCTCTCTCTCTCTCTCTCTCTCCCCCTCCCTCTCCCTCCCCCCCACTCTTGATTTGTCTAATCTGGAGATGTCACATAAATGGAAATAAATAATATGTGGTCCTTTGTAGCTGACTTCTTTTATTCAATATTCAGATGAATATTTCCAAGGTTCATCCATATTATATATTAGTTATATTAGTACTATTTATATGTTATATTAGTTATATGTTATATATAGAATATACCAGTACTTTAGCATTTTTATAGTTAAATAATTTTTCATTGAATAGATGTATATATTTTCTTTTTTTTTCCCTTTATTTTATTTTATTTTTTTTTAAAGTTGTAGATTTACAATTTTTTGTGCTTTGGTTTCAATTATACAATGATCAGATACCCATCCCTCCACCAGTGCCCATTTTCCACCACCATGGATAATATCCCTCCCACCCCCATCCCCCCATCCCCCCTGTCTCTGTGGCAGGGCAATCCCCTGTGTTCTCTCTCTCCGTTTGGGTGTTGTGGTCTGCAAAAGAGGCATTGAGTGGCAAACATGTTCAGTCCATAGTCTACTTTTGACATGCATCTCCCCTCCTGGGAGGATCCTCCAAACTAATAGATGTATATATTTTCTTAATCCACCCAATTTGATTGCTTCTATACTCCAGTTATTATTAATGATGAATAAAAACACATGTACAAGGTTTTGTGCAGATCTGTTTTCATGTCTCTTGAGTTAAGAGGGGGAGTTTCTGGGTCATATGATGACTCTACATGCAACATTTTAAAGTCCTTGTGTTCTTTTAACCTTATGATGGTTTAAACATTCCAGATATAAAAGATTTCTATCTATAAAAGAAAACTCTATCATCCCACAAGAAAAAAGACAGTGTTAAGTGTTTAGTTACTTTGGTACCCCCAACTTTTTCCAATATGTAGGGTGATACATAATTATATTCTAACATAACCATTACAAAAGTTATGTTTTTATATTATATTTTATAATTTATATTATATGTATTTTCTGTATCTCACTCTTGTTCAGTATACTTTGGAGACTTTTCCATAGCCAAAGGGAGCAGAACTACATAGACCTTCTCGCAGCAGTTAGAGGTCCAGATGTGCTTTCATGATTAGGAAGAAATTACAATGCCAAAACTGATTAGATCATTAGACCAAATAAAGACCATTTCACCCTCCCACTCCATTTCCTCCTACATATTCAAAATATTTGTAGGTTGTTTTGTCTCTGTCTACAGTAACACACCCCTCAGGGAACATCATTTATTGATTAGCGAAGAAAGAAATGGTTCTGAGGAACGAAGTTGGAAGTTATAGCAAATCTAACTTTAATGATCCTTAAAAAATGGAACCTGAGTGGGAGATAAGAATAAATTCAAGCTGGCTTCCTCCGTGATGACCAGATCTGTAATTTCTAGTGGTTCTCTTAACAGAAGATGAAGTCCACACACTAGGACGTGAGTAAATGTGAAATGTTATTTCGAACAACGGACAAGCAGAAAGTTTACTATTTTCCCAAATCCTTCTTCATGGAATTTTAATTAATGGTTGTTTCCTTCTAGTTATTTTTTTCTATGTAGCTAATGTATCTACTGTTCTGTGTTGGGTTTAGGGTTTTTTCCTCCATAAACAGAATAGCATAGTACAATTTTTTGATGTAGTTTTTACTTGATCTTATATTTTTTCTCAACCTATCCAAGTCAGACACAGATGACTACGGGGTTAATTTGAAGTAGCCTACTGACTTAATCACGAGACTGAAGTGCAGGAAAGGATATTTCAAAGTAAACCAACTATAGATTAAGTGTGCTTAGGAGAGTTCTCCCAAATCGATTTTCCCCATTCAGTGTGTGCACAAATTGAGAAGCTGGAAAACACCAAAAGCACCCTTGAAACATCAAAGATACCCAAGCAGCTACCGAGCAGGGCGGCTCCACCCTGAGTGGGAAGAGGAGGCTCCCCAAGCCGACCAAGAAGCCTGGGCTGGGGCTGGCCAGCCCTTTGGCCTGGCCCTGTCTCCAGCTCCTGACTCAGCTGCATGACCGGCATGAGAATGGCAATGATACTTACTTTTGGCCGAGTGTCAACCACGTAGATGAAGTCACTTCCGGGATTGGCTTTCCTGATGGCCTGCAGCATCTGCTCATCCTCCAGGCACCGGGCACTGAAGCCAGACAGGGGCTGGCTGCTCCGGCAGATGGAAGCCTGCAGGGAGAGGACAGAGCAACACCTGTGTCAGGGCTGGGCAGCATCTCTCCATACCCAGGACTCTCTAGATTCTTTATAATACAGAGCCTGTGGCTTCACACTGCCCCATGCGACCTCACACAAGGCCCTGTTCACAATAATGCCTTCCACCACATGTTAATTCTTAACTCAGGTCAAAGAAATACAAGATAGTGCACAAAAGTCTCTGAAAAATCAGGGATGCATTAAGGAGGTAGAGAAAGGATCCCATATAGGAAACATAAATTCATCCATCTCCATTAAACTCATCTATTTTCCTCTTCACTGGCATTGTTTTATTTTCCTGCTGAAGGTAGAAAAGGAAATAAACACTCAACCTCCTAAATCTTCAAATCTCCTAGAACAGGGTGGGAGAGATAATGCAGAAGACAGGGTGCTTGGCAGAGATCAAACGCTCCAAGTTGGGTTCAGTCCCGGCATCACATACATCCAAGTACTGAAAGCAGTGACCCCTGAGCACAAAGCCAGGGATAAGCGCTGAATACCACTAGGTGTGACCTGCCACCAAAAATAAATAAAACAAAATGAGGATACAATGAGACCCCAAAAAATGGGGCTAGAGCGATACCACAGCAGGTGGGGCATCTGCCTTGCATGCACAACCTGGGTTCAATCCCTGACATCATATATAGTCCCCCAAGGACTCCCTGGAGTAATTCCGAAGTACAGAGCAAGGAGTAACCCAAAAGCACTGCCAGTGTGGCCCAAAAACAAGCAAATGAACAACAACAACAAAAAAACTATTTTTTATATTTTTTTATGTTTTTTTTTTACCAGCTCACTTAGAAATATCAAAAAATTTAAAAACCTAGGCCAGAAAGACAGCTTAAAGAGCTGAGTACATATTTTGGTTTTTCATGTTTTTTTGTTTTTTAATTTTATTGAATCGCTGTGAGAAAGTTACAAGCTTTCATGTTCGGGTTACAATCACACAATGATCAAATACCCATCCCTCCACCAGTGCACATTCCCCACCACCAATATCCCAAGTATAACCCCCTTCCTCACCCTCCCCCCGCCTCCATGGCAGACAATATTCCCCATACTCTCTCTCTACTTTGGGGCATTATGGTTTGCAATGCAGACACTGAGAGGTCATAATGTATGGTCCATTATCAACTTTCGGCACACATCTCCCATCCCGCTTGATTCCTCCAGCCATCATTTTCTTAGTGATCCCTTCTCTGTTTCATCTGCCTTCTCCTCTCCACTCATGAGGCAGGCTTCAAGCTATGGGGCAATCCTCCTGGCCCTTGTATCTACTGTCCTTGAGTGTCAGCCTCATGTTATGTTATTCTATACTCCACAAATGAGTGCAGTCCTTCTATGTCTGTCCCTCTCTTTCTTACTCATTTCACTTAGCATGATACTCTCCAAGTCTATCCACTTATAAGCAAATTTCATGACTTCATCTTTCCTAACAGCTGCATAGTATTCCATTGTAGAGATGTACCAAAGTTTCTTTAGCCAGTCATCTGTTCTAGGGCACCTGGGTTGTTTCCAGATTTTGGCTATTGTGAACAGTGCTGCAATGAACATATAGATACAGATGTCATTTCTACTGTGGTTTTTTGCATCCTCAGGATATATTCCCAGAAGTTGTACTGCGGGGTCATATGGAAGCTCAATTTCTAGTTTTTGAAGGACTGTCCATATTGCTTTCCAGAAAGGCTGGAGTAGTCGGCATTCCCACCAGCAGTGAAAAAGCGTCTCCTTTTCCCAACATCCACACCAGCACTGCTTGCTTTTGTTCTTTGAATGCGTTCCAGTTTCTGTGGTGTGAGATGATCTCTCATTGTTGTTCTGATTTGCATCTCCCTGATGGCTAGTGATGTGGAGCATTTTTTTATGTGACTTTTGGCCATTTGTATTTCTTTTTTGAGGAAACTTCTGTTCATTTCTTCTCCTGATTTTTTGATGAGGTTGGAGGTTTTTTTCTTGTACAATTCTACTAGTGTCTTGTATGGGTATTGGGTAAATATTCTTTCCCATTCTGTGGGCTCTTTCTGTATTTTGGTCACTGTTTCTTTTAAGTGCAGAAGCTTCTTACCTTGATGTAGTCCCATTTGTTTATGTTTGCTTCCACTTGCATGGTCACTGCTGTTTCATCCTTAAAGATGCTTTTAGCTTCAATGTCATGGAGGGTTCTGCCTACATTTTCCTCTATGTACCTTATATCTGATATTGAGGTCTTTAATCCACTTTTTTTTATGTAGGAGTACTGCTACTTCTTCAGCCACTGATTAGCTGATTGAATTGGGCATGAACTCCACCTTACTTTTTTTTTCATTTTTTATAATTTTATTTATTGAATCACCATGAGAGCAGTTACAAAGCTTTCAGGTTTAAGTCTCGGTCATATAATGAAACACCTGTACCTTCACCAGTGCCCATTCTCCACCACCAAAAACCCCAGTAATACTCCCATCCCACACCCTCCCACACCTACCTGTGGGGCAGATGATTTCCACATTACTCTCTCTATACTTTGATCACAGTCAATATTTTGACACCAGACCTACCATTATTATTAGGGATTTTACCCCAACACTCAGATCTGCTGAAAAGGCAACAGTAGACAATTTGTTTTCTATTGCTGGTTAAGAATAACATATGATGTCACGTGGCTGCAGTAGTGGCCACACGATTTTGAAATTTTGAAATTTTAATACTTAAATCTGGAGGGATTTCTGCCAAAACCTGCTGAGTTCCGAGATTTGTTCCTGAGTCTCTGGGATCATGGCCATTAAGCAGCTTGATCAGGAGCCAGAGGGGCCATTTGTGGGCAGCGACTTGGAGTCTCTTTGGGATGGGGAGGAAAGGGCCAGCTCCACCCCCATCCTGTGAGGCCCCACATGTCTCATCACTGTGGGCCCAAACCTGACTGTGCACTGGCCTCTGGAGGATGGCAGCCACCGGGCTGCCACAGGGAACAGGCTAAGGCATGAAACCTATTCCCACCTGAGTTGGCCCAGCACCGGTAACCTACTGTAGGGTACAGACGTATTTCTGCCAAAAGCCGTTGGATTTCGAGATTTGTTTCTGAGTCTCTGGGATCATGGCCATTAAGCAGTTCAATGAGGAACCAGAGAGGCCATGCCTCCAATTATATAGTTGAGCCGGAGGTGGTTTGTGGGTGTGTCTCCCACATACCCACATACCTAACTTTTGGCCATTTACTTTCTTGGTAAACTTTGCCCCAAGTTTTTGGGGTCTAGTCAAAGGCACAGCAGCAATTTGGGGGTATCTGGAATTCTGAAGGTGCCATGAGACTGCTGATGCACTCACCTCACAGGTACGGACTGACCTGCTGGTGGCGCCATACCCTCTCTTTAATCCACTTTGATCTGACTTTTGTGCCTGGCATTAGACAGAGGTCAGAGTTCTTTTTTTTTGCAGGTAGCTATCCAGTTTTCCCAGCACCACTTGTTGAAGAGGCTTGTCTTGTTCCACTTCACATTTCTTGCTCCTTTGTCAAAGATTAAGTGGCCATATATTTGGAGATCTGTGACAGATGGTTTAACATTCGCAAGTCAATCAACATAATTCATCATACCAATAAATGAAAAAAACCATATGATCATATCAATAGATGCAGAGAAAGCATTTGACAACATCCAGCACCCGTTTATGATGAAAACTCTCAGCAAAATGGGCATCAAAGGAACTTTCCTCAATATAGTCTAAGCCATCTACCATAATCCCACAGCAAGTATAATTCTCAATGGGGAAAAACTAAAAGCCTTCCCTCTAAGACTGGGCACAAGACAAGGCTGCCCACTTTCGCTACTCCTGTTCAATATAGTACTGGAAGTCCTGGCCATAGCAGTTAGGCAAGAAAAAGATATCAAGGGAATAAAGATAGGAAAGGAAGAGGTCAAGCTATCATTATTTGCAGATGGTATGATACTGTACTTAGAAAACCCTAAAGACTCTACAGAAAAACACGTAGAAACAATAGGTCAATATAGCAAAGTGGTAGGCTACAAAATCAACACCCAAAAGTCCATGGCTTTCTTACATACAGATAACGAAAGAGAAGAAAGAGACATTAAAAAAACAATCCCGTTCACAACAGTAATTCCTGAACATTGCCAGGTTTGGCCCCAGAACAAAACAAAATTAATTCAGTGTCAATCCTATCATTTTCCTGTGTTTTACTTTATATTTCTATGTACAGCCTATTTTTATTTTCATGTTCATATATGTGAGTTCCAAACATATTTTTAAGTTCTCTTTAAATGTAATTTTCAATAGTGGGAACCAAGATACAGGTTTACTTAAAAAAATGTGGATAAGCTAAGTAGCTAAGTAAGGGTTATCTCTTTCTGTAGGATGGCTAACTCAGGGAAAGTTATATCCATATTTGTATTCTGCTTTGTTTTGTTTTGTTCTGGGGCTGTGCTCTGGGCTTACTCTAGAGCATTTTCCAAAACTCCTAACAAGTTTTGTACTTCTTGATTAAGCTATTTAATGAGTACAAGTCAATAGAGCAATGAATTTAATGAGGTGTTTGTTGTTTGGGGGCCTTGGGGGGTTGCAATTTTCTTGGTTGGTTTGAGTTCCTCACTCTACAGAACATAATGTAGTGTTGGGGATTGAACCAGGACCTCACACATGTAAGGCATGCCCTCACATGTAAGGCATGCCCTCACACATGTAAGATGTGCCCTCAAACATTTAAGTCATGCCTTCACACATGTAATGCATGTCCTCACATACGTAAGATGTGCCCTCATATGTAATATATTCCCTCACTTATGTAAGGAATGCCCTCATACAAGTAAGGTGTGCCGTCACACATGTAAGATGTGCCTTCTATCATTTGAACCATATCCTCAGCTCTTGCTGACCTCTTTAATCTTTGCTATGTTTGTATTGGGCTGGAGCGATAGCACAGTGGGTAAGGCGTTTGCCTCACACGCGGCCTACCCTGTCGGCTCAGGTTCGATTCCTCC